TACCCTACCCTCTCAACTTTTAACGTGAACATCAAGGGAGAGAAGGGAGATCATGGATAAGGTTATGCGAGAATGTGTAGGCATACGTGCAGGGACCTGTAGGATTTGGGGTTCCTGCTTCTGATTTGAGATTATTTTGAATTCAGACCCTCGAAAGGCGCTCTCGTCACCCCCGTGATCAAATTGATGCCGTGCCGTTAGGGGTGGAGCTACTGCGCCAGCGTGACCAGGCCATGTAGATGATCCCTTACATTACGTTACATGAAGGCCTCACAGAACGGGTACTGAACATTGCTCTTCTCAGGAGTGTCTAATCCAGTTTCCGGATTTTGTTGGTTTCTTTTGATCTATCCGTCGCTCTTGGCCCCAAGGATGTATGCGCCGCAACTGAAAAGGTGAAGCCAGGCTGATCGGACTATTATAACCTACGGGAAAACCTGAGATAGCATGAGATGACACGACGCAGTACGTCACGTTGATTCAAGTTGTAGGGAGGGTTAACTTGCTTTGAACTCTCCAGAGGCAGCCCGATTTTTGGGTTTAGGCTGAACAATGCCGTGACCAGCTTCGTTTTCGTATCCTGCTAGATCACGCTCGATACCCCAGTGCTGGCCAGAAATCTGGAAGTCAATCAACCAGTATGGCCTAGCACATCCTAGCACCGAATTGGCGCCATTTTGGCTAAGGCGGATTTGGTGCACTTTGGTCTAATGGTGTCTACTGCTTACTGCTTATATCCTTTTACTAGATTTCACAAGTCTCCATACGTCATTGCAGTCTATCATGAACCTCCATATCTCACCATCCGCTTGACATAAGGACGGAGCCCATCTAGAACTCCAAGTCGTGGTCTCCAACTGGGGATATAAAAATGGGCTTCGGTTCTGCCAGAGTGACATACTGCAGCTTTCCCTCTCTGCTGGAGCCCAAGACATGTACCTCGTCTCAGCAAGGTAGCTACCCTGAGGGGACCTCTGGGACTACAGTCTACTGGTCGAATGTCCACGCTGCATCATACTCCGTAACCACACCGTCGGCCGCACCATGGCTAAACCCAAAACCCTAAACCCCAAAGGATGATGCGGCTTCCAATGCCTTGGCTGTTTCCGAAGGCTCGTGATAAGGTATGAAACCTTCCGACGTATGCTTACTGTAGTCTCCTTAGACCTATAATAAAAACAAATATTTTCAACAATTCCTCAGGGTTATACTACAATCAATAGAAGCATTTCCTAAGGAGACTACGTACAGTTTATGGGGGATCCCAAACTGCGTTAAATGGCAGCATTTTTGTGGGCCATCATGTTACCTACGTTTGAAGTCTAGGTATGCTTTTACCGCCTTGTTAGGCTTTAAGGACCGTTAATCATTAAGGGCTTGAATCAGGCCGACGCTCCATCCAATTGGCTGTTGGAATCGTAACTTAAGGGCGATGAACGGCTGTTTTGGGGACAACTACCTGAAAATGGATCAGATGAGGTCTAGACCCCGAAGTCTAAACTGTAAACCTCTTGACTAAGGACCGCTAGGGAACAGAGCTACTGCTCTGCTCGTCCTTATAGGAGTGCTTTCTGGAAACCCTGAATAACCCTTCCGAAATCCTCATCCCCAAGCCCTGAACTGGAAACCTACGACCTTAGTCCAAATCCTCTCATATCCAGAAATACAGCCGATATCCCCTTCATGTAGATGGACCCTCCAACCTATCAACCTTCATATACATCCCTGTAAGCCCCCTCAGCATCCGGGGCCTGCCCCCGTTGTAAAAAGCATGCAGCGCAAGCAGAGGAGGGGTCACTTAGGCCCCTACACCCTACATGTAAGCCTAAATGATTAGAATTTAGGGTTTGGGGCTTGAGGGAGTTTAGAGCTTCGGAGCCTCAGCAAGAAAGACTAGTGAGAACTAAATGGAAAGAACATCGAAAACGGAGAGCAAATTTGGCAGAAGAAAAGGTGTACACACATGTGTATATAACATACACGTTCACAAGTATTTAGAGGATCTTACTGCAGAGACGTACTTCATCAATTACAAGGACGTCGACGTCTGGAGGTACATCATATTGTGTAATGGGGCATTACTGGTTAACTCTTCCGGTAATTCCCTCAGGCCTTTCAAATATGTTTAATACTTCTTCTGGGGTATTATACTACAACAAGTGCAAAACATCCACAGTGGATAAGAGATTCGGGGTCCTACGCTAGATTTGGCCTGAGTTCTTACGGCTCAAGGTCTCCACTTTTGGCCCCGTCATCTTCGTACCTTCTAATTACTATTACACCAAGATACTATAGTAGCTTCCATTTTCTTTCCATTATCCCAATATTACCGCAACTTATTGTAGTAGTTTATCAAGTACCTTACAGGCTCTAGAACTTTCAAAAATGCTCGCGAAGGGGTCCCATTCTGCGCAGCCATGCCTGCAAACTCAACTTGGCGGTATTGTGCCCTCTGCGCTCTTTCTCAAGCATTTTGGCTGTGCATGGAAAGAAGCGAAACACGCATAGTTCATGAGCCGTCCAGCCCGAAGCATCTGTACCCTCTCCCAGAGTAACGTGGCAACTCCGTATTGGCAGAAGCTGGATGTCCCTTTTGGGGGGCCCGATAATGAGGATTATGGTGCTTGGCGGTTAGAGCACAAAGCCCACAATTTTCCATAGAACCTAAACCCTAAACCCTGGGCTTGCTTGAATCCTTGGACATCAAGGCAGCACACCTCCTCTTACTGCAACTGCGTGATGAATTGGCATTGAACGTTGGCATGACGTGTGAACACACACGTCAGTTTTCTACGAGAACTCCAGGACCTTGCGCTGGGGAAGCAGCGGATGAGTACCTGCGTAAACTATACCGATGATGAGGGTTTTAAGGCTTAGGGATTAGGATTTCCCGAGTTTAGATCGTACAAAAGATCTGCGTGACCCTGGATCCCCGCTTCAAGTATCAAAAGCGGCCCGACCTAAACACTGAACCCTTTGCCTCCCAAGGGATCCGTAAGTGCAGAGCCTAAAACGGAGCTAGGAAAATGCCCAGGAGCATGGGCGTAACCCCAAAATTAGGGGTACATTCCTCGGGATCCCTATAACAAGGCTTATAATCTTTTGGGGTTTAAGTTTTATAGTCCCCCTTAAGTAGATAGAATATGGCTTTGCGCATTTTATAATAAGATCCTCATATACCCCATATTCTACCTACTTAAGGGGGACTAAAGGGGTTACGGTTAGGGACACCACCCCATGAGCTATAGTCTAAACTCCTAGTATCCCCCTCAAGAACTCCTATAGTAGTCCCCTATATAATCCCTCTTTAAGGAGTTTAGACTATGGCTCACAAACAGAATACCTTGGAATATGCATCTTTCGACACGCTTGCGGTAGGCGAAGGCATGGTCTCGGGTGCTAAACTCAGGACTTAGGGCCAAAGGTTTAGGGTTTAAATTAGGGGTTTAGGGTTTAGGGTCTCAGGTTTAAGGTTTAGGGTTAGGGTTCAGGGATAACTCCAAACCCCAAAAATGTATTATTATGTTACCTTAAGCCTTATGCACCTTATATGTAGCGTATTTTATAGTTGCACAGCAGGAAGCCCGGCGTTGCATTTTTATGAGTACACTTTGTGTCCCGCCTCCTTGGGGAAAAACATGAATACATATGGTAGCTATTCAAAATTCCTGAAGGCCCCCAAAATGGACATAACGTAGGTTCCCTATTTGGATAGGATCCGCCGTTTAGGAAGTAAGTTCCCAATGCTCCCTTCTGTACAAGGACCTTTAGAACAACCCCAACAGCCCCCCATATGAACTACGGTCAAAATTTCCGAAAAATCAATGGGTCTGGATTCCTACTCATTAGGGGTTTAGGGTTTAGGGTTTTCGGATTTGGGGTTTGTGGTTTAGGGTTATATATGTGTGTGAATATGAAGGACTATACTGTGCTAAATTACCAAAAGAATCCAATGCCCCTTGGTAATTGTAATAGTGATGACAGTAGCTCATATTGGCCATGGTCTAAACTCCTAGTATCCCCCTTAATGACCCCTAAAATAGGAACCCTATATAGTCCCTTAGATAACTCCCTTTAAGGAGTTTAGACTCTAGCTCATATGGGGGTTCTTACACTTATGGATCCCTTCAGGGAGTTCCTGTTGTGACGGTTTAGGGTTTAAAGTTTGGGGTGATAGTGTTGTGAGACGAATACAGGAGGGCTCTATTTGCCAGAAAGACCCGCAGTTGTCAACATTTTTCTCTGGACAGACAGGCGGGGGCCTCTAAACTTACTCTGTAGAGTAGGAGACTACTTGGAATGGGGTTTTGGGATATATCATACAATAGTTCTACAAGCCTTATGGGCGGATGATATTCTAGGTCGTTCAGGTCCATGCAAGTAGCAATCAGGGTAATGTGCCTTCCATCAAGGTCTTCAAAACTTCAGTCCCACTGCATTTACCCAAGTATTCGAATCTGATTGATGGTGGGAATCTTGCAATACCTACTCCCGGGCTCAGTAAGAATACTCATAACCCTTATAAGCCATGTAACATCCCCAGTTATCCCCATCCTTTACCCACTTGCTGATAAGTCCCCCTGACACTCCCAAGTGGGGTACCCTACCCTAAAACTTCAACCCTATACACCGCACCGCAACACAAAACACTCCAAAAACAGCATCACAAAAGACTCCAAACGAACGCGGAATCCCACGAGGTTCTTCTTAAGAAGGCTCGTCTTCGGTAGAAAGACAGTAGCTCCTGAACCTGCAGCCTCGCACCAACAACATTTCAAAACATAACCTCGTAAGCCCTAAACTGAATATCCCCCGCCAGAGGCTTAAACGCTAGCCCCCCTAGAGCCCTAGGCCCTAAACCCTAAACTCCTAAACCCTGAGCCCCTGAACTCTAAACCTGTAGGGGCAAACTTGACCTTCAGTCTTAGGATGAAGGATCCCTAGAAATGGTCCAGTTCAGGGTTTAGGGGTCAGATGCCCCCACAAAGAGCAGGCCTGGCTCAAGGAAGTGGATTTGTCTTCCGGTACTCCTCCCAAATGCAGGCGGATGTCGGGTTCAGGGATGAGGATTCAGGGCTTAGGGTTGTACAGTTTTACAGAGAGGGGCCCTTCAGCCACACAACTAGAGCCGTAAATCAGATCACCAATGTGCCCCTAAACCCTAAACACTAAACCCTTTGAACCATATTTAGCCACATGCGTTCACGGATGCGGAATGGCTGTTAAAAACCTTGGAATATACGTAAACTCTAAACCCTAAACCGCAGACCCTACCATAAATCCTAGACCCTAAACCCCAAATATCTAGGTCGTCTGTCTCTTTCTCGCGGCCGCGACAATTGCTGCAGATGATATGACGGAGCATCTAATACTATGGGTCCCTTCAAAGGGGTTATATGTTATCTTGGGGTTATATCGGGATAATGGAAATAACATGGAAACTACTACAATGTGTTGTGCTGAGGTTATATCGGGATAATGCAAGAGAAAATGGAAACGGCTATATTACTTAGGGTTTAGGGTCTAGGTTAAGAATAAGGGAATAAACATGACCAGAGGTCCCCTGTACTGAGAGATCTTAACGGAGCTTGCAAAATCTGGGGTTGAAACGGTATGAAGTTGTGATAGCATGTGCTACCTTTACCTTAAGCCTCAGCAGAATCCCACCAGCAACGCAGGCCTCTCCAGTACCCTGGAATCGAATTTTGTTTGGGGTGACCGACGTAGTTCAGGGTTCAGGGTCCCAATATGCCTAAGAAGTCGCATGATAGCTGGAACGGGAGTATAGTAGGAACCAGTCTCATACGAGTTTGCTGGAAATTCCCAGATGTTCGAAATTTGGGCCTTCCTCAGAGTCTTCTTCAGGACCCTAGAGTGCAGGGAACTGCTGGAAACGCGGCAATATCTTGAATGTATTTTCAGGTGCGGAAATCTGAACCCTGAACTGGAGATACCAAGTGTATGGGGCAACTAACATGTACATCAAGGCCATGTGAGAGTTAGAGGACAATACCCACCCAAGATTTCTTTAGACTTGGTTGGCCTCTGAAGCCTTCGAGACATGAACATCTAGGGTCCTTTTGAAACCAACAATGCAAAAAAATAAATATCCCTAAAAGCCAACTCAGTAGAATAGAAAAGGGTTCCCAAGAAGGGCGCTGGCAGACCAACCAGTGGCTATCCGTGAGTCGCAATGCCAAAGCGACTTGTTTTGGTGTGAGATTCAGATGAAGGGAACTCAGCGGTTGAAATAAGGTTCTGGGATACAGCGTGCTGTAATCCGATAAGCACTAGGAATTATGATGGAATCGCACCATACCACTGGTGCTTATTCAGGTTTGTACTTTTCGAAATTTCAAGCAGAAGGGTTCCCCGCATACCTGCTGGCCCCATTTCTTGCCCCTAATTAGCTATAGTCTAAACTCCTGGCATCCCCTTTCATAACCCCTATACTAGTCCCCTATATAACCCTTCTCAAGAAGTCGGAGGAATATGGCTCATATAAGCCCCTTGTGGAGTTTAGTTTAGGCAATAAATAGCTCATTTGTATGGCAGGTTTCTGCACGATTAAGGTGTTCACCCTGCCAGATTTGGCCCCATCAACCTCAACCTGAGACCATGACCCCGCACACTCCTTCTGGCTTAGGGTTTAGGGTTTAGGATTGAGTTTAGGGTTTAGGGTTTAGGGTTTAGGGTTCCTTCAGGGTTTAGGGTTGAGGGAGTTTCGGGCTAAGGCAAACAAATGTGGCACCCCAAAAGGTATCTGAAAAGCGTATTCAGCCCTTGAAGGCGAATCATACTGGGTTGCATATTCTCTGCTTACGAGATCAAGGCCCATCGGCCCCTAAGCATGAGTATCCCAACACGTTCCAACACATGTGACATATCAGACTTTGACGGTAAGTCTACAGGCCTACCATCAGACGAAGACGCTGAAGGTACCACCAACATTCAGATGCCAAGTTCCCCACTCTTGAAGCAGCCAAGATGTACGAACCAGATCAACAAATCCTGAAGTTCAGAAACTGATGCAGTCCTCCATTTCCTTGGTGTATTCTTTCTTCCTTGGCTTTTTGCTGCTAGGTCCTAGTTAGGTAGGTGTATTGCGGGAGTGCCAGAAACATGCTGGCTTACGATGGTACGACGCTGAGCTACTTGCGTGGATCCAAGACTGCAGAAATGTGAGTTATGTGGACCCCGCTTGGAAAAGCCTGTTCTTTCGGAACTGAAGAACACAAGAAGGTCTTATTGAAAACTGGCATGCAGAGGGTATCAAGGGATAGAGGGTTTCGGATTCTTTAAGTGCTATAGGGTTTACCTGAAACCCAAATGTATGTAGAATAATGGCCTTTTGGGCTGTATTTAGGGGTTTGGGGCCATTATTTTACCTACTTTGGGGGGGTTTAGGTAGGGCTCAAAGGATTCTAGGCTACAGCCTCCTGGAGCTTGTAACCGGCAAAGAGAGGAGATATATAAATAGTAAGAAGAGCTTTCTGGCATACTCTTGATAACCCACACCTGGTATGCTAACAGAATGAGAACGCGCCATAATTTGTTAGGGGACTGCATTGGCTGATGTGGGGGCTATATTCGGGCCATATTCACGGATAGCACTGAAAAGGCTTTCAGGTTTACGGAAATTGTCCCAATGATATGGAGGATGAACTGCGAAACCACATGCAAAATTACGTGGAAAGTGAGGGATGTAAAAGGGCCCTTTAAGGATACAACACATATATATATATATATATATTGGGTAGTGAGAGGGGTTTTGCTAGCCCCAGCTTCCTGAATTTAGGACCTTGAAACTTATAACTCAGAAAAGACTATGCGTTTGTGGCGACTAACATCCTCTTGATTCGTCTAGGGCTGAAGGTTTAGGATCGTGATACCCCATCGTCGCAGAATCTGTCCTAGGAAACATCCGGAACCCCACTTTCAACGTAACGTGTGAACTTTCAGCCACTTTTGGCACGAAGATTCAGCCTCAGGATCACACTTTGTGGTTCATGGGACTTAGTGCCAACTCATAACTGGGTCCTTTTACGGGGGTTACAGGGAGAGAGAGCGATAGATAGGGAGAGAGAGGGTTCAAGGTTTAGGCTCACGGGACATGGTGTAACCACTTGACACTTAGCTTATAGCCCAAGCTATAATCCGCCTACATGAAGTTATCTAGGCTACGGTTTAGGTTTTAGGATTTAGGGTTGATGATGTGATAAGCAGGGTTAGATCCCCAGCTCTAAGTTTTAACTAGCACTACATCCCACGAGCGTTTAAGCAGCCAAGGCGCAACTTTTCTGCCTCGGTGTTGTATTTCTTCTTGCTTGCGGCTGCAAGCTTTTTCCATGCTGCGCCTGCAGGAAGCTGAATAAGGTTTAGGCTTCGGCGGAGCTACTCTCAGTCGTTCCAAACTTACCCGCTCGCGTATGAAGGTAATGTAATCCGTATAATCCCCCCTCAGTAGATAGAATATGGCTTTGGGTATATTATAATAAGATCCCCATATGCCCCATATTCTATCTACTTAAGGGGGACTATAATACCCTGATTTCTGGGAGCCTGATGGTTGCCTGCTGGAAAACTTGCAAGATGCAGCCCATAGGCTTTCTTATCATCGTCAAGCCCTTGCGTTATACCCTGGCACTTGCCTTGACAAGGATCTGCTGGCGTAGCAAGCCAGCACCCAAAAGACAAGCATCTAGGCCGCACCTCTGTGCCTTCGTTGGCATGGAATTCCGACTACATGCAAGACGTGCCCGCATCTTGTCGTAACATTGCACTACCGTCGGGTCATGCTAGACTACCGCGATCCGAGCTTTCGCCGTAATGGCAATTGTTGCGCATGCTCCTGTCATTCACCACAAGTCATCTACTCCCCGACCTATTTGGCCATTGTCTGGGATGCGTTATTACACAACGCAAGCTCCGGCCTGAAACCGACCGCTATGAATTACAGGAGACCTCAACCAGCTGTTATTTGGTCCAGGTGCCTGAAGCGTGGACGCTGAGCCGTGAGCTGTTGTGCGCGCGAGGCGTGTACGGTATCTCTATTTAAGCGAGGCGCTCTTGTATTCCGGTGCCCTGTACTTTGGTACAATCCTGCCCTGTCTCGGGCGCACCTCGGCACCTGCTACGTGTGCTCATTTGTGTTGCGATGTCAAGCGGGGATTGAAATGACATGGGGCCATGCTGCCTTCAAAATAAAATCAAAAGCAAAGGAAATATCACCCCCTCTACGAGAAAGAACGGTCAGTTCGCGGAAGGGTCTATTCGAACCCTCCTACCCTATCCCTAACACAACTGCTACGGAATTTCCCCCGTGAGCTACAGCAGGATGGAGTAGTGACGGTGGTACAAGCAGCAGATTTGGGTGCTCTTGGAAGGCTTGGATCCTGAGTTACATATTGATATATGAGGCATAGTTTAAGCTCCTTAAAGGGGTTATGCAGATAGGGGACTGCTCCAGGGTTTTTTCAGGGGGATACCAGGAATTTAGCCTATGCCCACTTCAAAAAATGCAAGTAAGCCTTGTATAACATTTCTTAAGACTTGCTTCATGTGATCCGCAGCCCAGCAACTGAGGCGCAGAGGGCGAATTCAAGGTACTCCACTATGGTCAGGACGGCCGCCAATTTTTTCTTGTTGAAACTCGCAAGGGAGCCTTGTTAAAACCTCTTGGAAGATTTTTCCGTGATCTGCAGCCCACCGGCCCACGTCAGCATTTACAATTACTGACTCTTCAAGCATTCGCGACCCCTACATACAGCCAATCAATGTTGAGATGCGCTCACATCTCTCTGCCAAGCTGCTCGCTACCTGAGGGCAACGGGGAGTGATCACGAGTACTGCTACGGTGCTATGATGCGGATCGACTAGAGTACAACGCTAAGGAATTCATTCCGCTAACCCAGCTTAACGCACTAACCCATCAAATACCCAGAAAACTCCGCACGCCAGCCTCCTTCCTTCAGCACCTAAACCCTAAACCCTACCCAAGGGCTCCTATGTACTTCCTTTTTTGGTGTGTTATGGTTTTTGGTACGAGATTATAGTATACTACCCAACAAGGAACTACATAGGAGGGTTTGGGTAAACCCTAAACTGCAAACCCTAAACCCAGACCCAGCCTGCTTCCTTCATCACTTCAGTCGGCGCCGCTCCAGGGTCCTGAGCCAGGACAGGTTTTGTGTTTGGGGGCTAAGCTGTGACTGGGTTTCAGGCTGGCACAGTTCATGTACAAGTCACGTTTTGTTGTGCCTTCTAAGTTTTAGGACTTATAAGAAAAAAGCCGCAGAAGTCGTCATGATTCGATGATCCCGGGCCTGGAATGATGCAAAACCAAAATAGGGGATCCCATTGTAGTCTCCAAAATATTAGAACTCTTATGGAGACCCCCCCCCCAAAAAGGGTACTCCTTCTTGTGGGAATCCCCGTAGGGATGAAAGCTTGTGGCCGTACAAAATATCACTGCGCCCTGTTGAGGTTCATGTGTGGTACCAGGCAAAGGTATAGGGTTTAGGGTTGGTGGTTTAGTGTTTGAAGATTATCTTCCAAACTCCAACTCACCATGTGAGTTAATGTGCAGCATACTTGTGAACTTCTTGCTGCACTGACCGGGCACATCAATGCATCCTTCCCTAAACCCTAAACCCTAAATCTTAAACCCTAAATCCTAACCCAATGCCCAAGTGCCAATGGGCCTTTGCCATGACCTTTTTCTTGAGCGCCGCATAATTGTCGCTGACCTTGAACCCACAGCGAGAAACGCGGTTTAGGGTCTGGGGGTTAAGGGTTTAGGGGTGTAAGGGTT